ACACACACACACACACACACACACACACACACACACACACACACAAGGGGAAAATCTAAAATTTTGAGTCAGAATTCATGAAGGTGGCAGATCTCACAGAGCCTCATAGCAGCTCAGTGGAGACTGCATGGAGACCATGGGCTTCTGGGAAGAAAAAATACATTATTTCATTAAGGGGATAATTATTCCTTCCATTTCTTAGCATAGTATTGGGTGACTATACCTTCCCGGGGAGTGGTCCCTTAGTCAAGCTGACTGACCAGTCCAGCTGAATAAATTCTTCTGTTTTGTGTAGGTTGTAATACTAGGTTTCCACCCAGGCCGGAGGGAGATTTCATACTCTTGAGCAGAAGGAAATAGCTTTCACTCAGTAGACCTTTATGGAGCCCTGATTAAGGCTACAGTTACAATGTTTGCCTAGCAGGCACAGCTAAGCCATCTCCCTAGCCTTCTTTACATTCTTTTAAGTTAAAAAAAAGGAAACACAAACATTTAATAAACACAAGGAATGCTATGTTGTCACTTGATCGTTGGTAAAGGAGGAGGAAAAAGAGGGTGCACCGTCAGGCTGGGTAGTGGCTTGGTGCTTTCAGGCACTACTGAATTTGCATACAACTCAGCAAGAGAATGAAATGTGCTCCTCCACTAGCCTAGGCTGTCCTGTTTACCCAAAGCAAGAGGACCCTGGCACAAGACTCTTCCTAGCAGAGCAAGGAGCTAAGTAAGTTCAGGGAGTATTATTTAGATACACACAGAGGCACAAGCTTGCAGACAGACCCACAGAAAGAGGAAACAATCTCATTCAAACGGGGTCATAGTAAACCATACTATTTTTGTCAAGTTTACAGACTTTGAAAGGCTAGTTCTACAAAAGCAAAAATTAAAATTGCTTCTGGGAATTTACCAGAAAGTTAAATGGAATTCAGTTTAGGAGGTAAACTATTCTAACTCCACATATCCTTGGCCCTGGTGAAATTATCTGCATGTGAAAGGCCTACAAGAAATTTAACCCTGATGGAATTAAAATTTAAAAAGATGCAGTGTTAGCCTACACACTACTTAATGAATCAGAAGACAACCAGTTAAGTAGCAGAGCACAAGGCCATGAGTTTAACCATCAGCACTATCAAACAATACAAAATTACTTCATCCATTGCCATGCAAATAGGTCATTCCCAGCTACAGACCTATCCTGGCTAGATTCTTCACATATATGTAACCATGAACATCTAGATCTGAGGATCCCATGAATTTTAGGCTCAGAAAACATTAACAAGACTCAACTTATAAAATTTAACAACATTTTAAAAAAATAGGTTAGCTGGGCATGGTGTGTGCCTGTGATCCCCGCAGTTGGGAGGAGGATCCCAAGATTAAGGTCAACTTCCTTTCTCCAACCACTGCATGAACCCACATGAGTACCCCCTTACTTGAAGTGAATTTGCTCAGTGCTTAAAGTCCGTATTAAGTTAACAGAGAAACACAGCAGAGCCTTAGTCTACCGCTGACTAGGAAATTGTCCAACTGGAGAGTGAGTTCAGCCAGTTCCAAATAGAAGCCTTCTCCCTCACCAAGCAGGTCACCAGTGTGTTCCTTTACTCTGTCAAGGCCTATCTATACGACCCAGCAGTTTGTCTTTCATTTCCTAAAAACATTAACTAATTAATTTAGAGAGAGAGAGAGAGAGAGAGAGAGTGTGTGTGTGTGTGTGTGTGTGTGTGTGTGTGTGCACTCCTGTGTGGAGCTCGGAGGATAACCTCCTGCTGGAAATGGTTCTCTCTACAGTGAGAATTCTGGGGATGCAGCGCTGGTCCTCGGGCTTGGCAGCAAGTGCCTTCTCACCTGTGAAGCCATTTGCTAATGCTGCCTTTACATTTCTTACTAATAGTTTTAGGAGTCCTGACAACTAAGCCATTCTTAGTGTAAGGAAAACCAAAACAATTTATCATGAGGAAATTATCAACTCTAAATTCTAGTGGCACAAATAAAAAACTTAGAATGTTGTTACAAGGTTTCCATTTTGCTTGTTTAGAAAGCAGAGAAGAGTTTAGTGGTTATCATTAACCATGAAGAAGGTACACCTGGCTGGGCGGTGGTGGCGCACGCCTTTAATCCCAGCACTCGGGGGCAGAGCCAGGCGAATCTCTGTGAGTTCGAGGCCAGCCTGGGCTACCAAGTGAGTTCCAGGAAAGGCGCAAAGCTACACAGAGGAACCCTGTCTCGAAAAACAAAAAAAACAAAACAAAACAAAACAAAAAAACAAAAAAAAGAAGGTACTCCTGGCATATAATCCTTGCCCCTCACAGCTGAAGAATGTTATAAAGGAAAGCCTTAGTCACTTTAAAAAATATTTATTTCATGTGCACTGTGTTTTTGCCTGCATTTATGTCCGTATGAGGGTGTTGGATACTCTGGAACTGGAGTTACAGACAGTTGTCAGCTGCCATGTGGGTGCTGGGAATTGAACCTGGGTCCTCTGTAAGAGCAGCCAGTGCTCTAACCACTGAACCATCCCCCCAGCCCCACCTTAGTCACTTTTGTCATATCCAGGTACCACCTATATAATTATATGCTTACACTATTTTGGTATTTTTTCCCTAAAGACCTAAAAATAAAGACAATAATCTTAAAAGTGCTCATGTCACTAGGGTACATATAATATTCTTGGGGAAACAAAGGCTAAGGAATGTTTATGTAAGCCCCAGTTTTAACCAAAGACATTTATATAATCCTTATGAGACCAGCTCATTCTCCTGTCAATGGTTTGCTCCCAACTCCCAGCTCCACCACCAGCAGTGTCTCCTTATGTAGTCCAGACTGGCCTGAACATGTGATTTTACTTCAGTCTCCCGAGGAAACAGACTATAGGCGTGCACCATCATGTCTGACTCAAAATTCAATTTTTAAAAGAATCTGCTTTCTTTGTTTCCAGACAGGGTCTCACTACTCTGCTTTGGAACTTACTCTGTAGACCAGGCTGATTCACAGAGGTCTATCTGCCTGCCTCTACCACCCTATGCTGGGATTAAAGGTATGTGCCACTATGTCTGGCTTAAAAGAACCTGCTTTAAGGAAGCCACCCTCACTTGTCTAATAAGTGAAGAGTCCAAGGCTGCTTAATATGACCAAAACACATTGCACAAACATCTCTAAGAACTAGTAAAAAATTTAAAAATAAGAAAGCTGAAGGCGGGCTGGAGAGATGGCTCAGAGGTTAAGAGCACTGACTGCTCTTCCAGAGGTCCTGAGTTCAATTCCCAGCAATCACATGGTGGCTCACAACCATCTGTAATGAGATCTGCTGCCCTCTTCTGGCCTGCAGGCATACATGCTGTATACATAATAATAAAAAAAATAAAATCTTTAAAACAAAACAAAACAAAACCGTTGTGACCAACACAAAGTTTAAAAAAAAAAAAAAGAAAGAAAGAAAGCCGAAGGCTTAAGTTTATTTAACCAATTTCAAGTCAAGAACATTTGATCAGTCCAATGTAAGTGGGGATCATGTGTTCTGGATTGTAGCCAGTCTTTAAGTAGAACAATGGGTAAGAATTAGATTCTGAGAAAAAAAAATTATTAAAAAAGTAGACTTTTGTCAAGAGATGGAAAAAAATGATAGTTTGTTTACAAATCAAATGCATTTTTATGTAAGTTTGTCAAGTAACTTGACCTCTATATTTCCATTTTTTTTTCTTTTCTGTAAATGCAGTTAATAGCAGCTAAGAGGGATTAAGTGATTTAGTAGACATGGTGGGCATGGTTCTGGCAGGCCTTGCTCTTCTCTCCCATTAGATTACATCCCTAAAGCTAGCCACCAAGGTCCAGCTATCAAAGTATGGGAGGTCTAGCAATCAAAAGCCCCCTTTGGCTTCCCTAATTAACGTGCCCAATTAAAATTAAACGCAGGGTTTGCCCCGTACCTTTATAAACTGCCATTTTCTTATGTGCCACGTCTGTCTGCTCTCTATCCAGAGGCAGTCCTTTGTCCTTCCTGGACAAACATTCCTGCCCCTTCCCTTCCTCCTGTGTTTGTCTCTTATTCTCTGTCCTCTGTCCCTCTGGGGCAAATGAATCTCCTCTGCGCTGAGAACTTGGCCTTAGGAGTCCTGAGCTGATACTCTTCCTTTCAGACATGAAATGCTATTTAATGCTATTTCAAAGTAGTCCTTCAGTTAAGTTGTTTTTTAAGCTTCATATTTTTTTGGACAGGAATGCTCTATATTCTAGAAACCAGTGACCACACATAACCAGAAATAAAAGAATTACTTGAAGTATATTCTGCAAATCCATCTTCTCCCAGCTCCAGAACCATCCGTTGTTTCCACCTCTCCAAAAAGAAACTCTGTTCTGGTGTCATGGTCTGCTGAAGGATGCGTGTCACGCTGGGTAGCGCATCTCTTTGCAAAGGGATCTTCAAAGGACCTGAAGAAACACTTGTGTGTGGCTTCACATTTCTCTCTTCATTGAAGATAGGAAACCAGTTCTGTGGAACTCTTGCCTGCTGCTCTTGCCCTGGAGCCTTACGCTTACTGACAGGACCATAGAGTACATCGTCTTCCTCGAACAATGACTCCGGGGTCTGGACCGGGGCTCTGGACAAGACGGACCGTACTAAACGAGAGTACTTGGCCTGGTCTACTGCTTCATAAGAGTTCTTTTTCTTCTGGCCACACAAACAAGAGGAAGTGGAGAGACTCACAAGAGGGCTTGGTTTTACGGAAACTCCGTTTAAACTTCTAAGTAACCTGCACGTGGTCAGAAATGGCTTCATGTTTAGACTTCCCCCCCTCACTTTCTCTAGTCTGTAACGTTTAAAAGCATGCTGTATTCTTATCTAAAAAAGAAAAAGAAAGTGGTGTTAGATTCGAGCTGTCTTATATATCCAAACCATCAAAGTGAAGAATCACACAAGAACAAACATCAAAAGTGCACACACTAAACTTCTGACATTTGGAGAAAAATCGTTTCCAAGAAAGATTCACCAAAATTACAAGAACCAGCATTCGCTAAATGTCACTGTGCTGGCCGTTGGGGACAAGACACCCTAAACCTTTAATCTGAAGTCATGTGACCAGGCCTGGTGGCACTGGCCAGGAAACTTAGTACCTGTGAGGTGGAGAAAGGATGACTGTGAGTTTCAGGTTAGCTTAGCTTTGTCTCAAAAAACAAAACCAACCCCCCCCCCCCCCCCCCCC